ACTCTCTGGTGTCCCTTTGGCCTGCAAGTCCTTGGCGCAGAGCGTCACGAGCGTGTTCACTTGGACGCCGCAGATATGTGCCACTTCGGCCAAGTTCGCCGCCGACTTCAGACTGCCCAGGACATACACCATATCGTTCGACTCATAGACGATGGTCGCGTCCAAGGGCCACGCACGGAGATCTCCCAAATTGTAAGAACGGTTCCAAATGACACGATCCAGATGACACCCATCCCCGAACACAACCCTCCCTGCGAAGAGCAGCTATCCACTATCAAGTCTAGCCAACATCCACTTCAACACAGACAGCTTGCGCGCAAAGTTGCACTAAACACTACGCCCATCCCCTTACTCCAGCCCTCCTGCGATGAGAAGCAGTCCCCTATGGATTCCAGCAGCTGCTCCTTCCGAAGGGTTCTGCCGTCGCGCTGCTGCGGTAGCCCGAACAAAGCGCACAGCCGTCGCAAGTCGGCGGAGTTCTTGGCCTCCAACTCGGTCGGCAACCACGCCGCGCCTCCCTCCCGGTGTCCGTCTCGCAGGCGCTGTGCCTCTTGCTCCTGCTGACCCGCTGCCTCCGCGTTTCGCAGAACTGCGTCCTGCAGAGTGGCCATGGTCCGCGCGCCTCTTGACGAGAAGCTTATGAGGTGTGTTGAAACTTCTGGCAAGTACATTCTTCACGGCTCTTGCCTTGCTGTACGTTCCCGGCTACAATCTGTGGAGACTTGCGCGAACTCACTTGGCAATTGCTGCGGTCTCTCTGCTTGAGCCACGAACACGAAACGAAACGCGCCTAAGATCTACAGCACCAAAGACCTGCGAAAGAATTTCATAAACATCTGCTTTATGCTGGCTTGGCCACCTATCTATACATACATATATACATCTATATAAGGATACTATGGCAGCCAGTGTGCTGGCTTTGCCACTTTCCCACTCCACTATGATGGCAGCCAGCGTGCTGGCTCATACCCACTTCAACTATGATGGCAGCCAGCGTGCTGGCTTT